GAGCAAAAACAATTCCACGTATGGGTTTGTCTTTGTCTGAGGTGGGATTAATCCAAACAATCTTTCCTAAAATACCTTTCATATGTACCACAGGGACTTTATCTCCATCCACTGTGTGCAAGGGTTCAGACTGGACAGGACCAGCTCGATTGATGGACCCTCGGGTATTGACTAACCAGGTGGCTTTTGCTAAGTTCATTTCCCAATTTCTAAACGTTCCCCCCCAAGTGCCTTCAGGGTAGTCTTAAGTAGTTCGTTGCACCGTTCAACTTTCCTGGCAGCTGGTGCATGATAGGGGATATGATATATCCATTCAATACCATGTTCCCTGGCCCAGGTGTTGATAAGGACATTATTGAAATGGGTCCCGTTGTCCGACTCGATTCTCTCAGGGGTACCATGTCTCCACAGGACTTGCTTTTCCAGGCCCAAGATGGTGTTCCGGGCAGTGGCATGAGACACAGGGTATGTCTCCAACCATCCAGTGGTGGCTTCTACCATTGTGAGCGCATAGCGCTTGCCTTGGCGTGTCTGGGGCAGTGTGATGTAGTCAATCTGCCAGGCCTCCCCATACTTGTACTTGGACCACCGCCCACCATACCATAGGGGTTTCACTCGCTTGGCCTGTTTGATGGCAGCACACGTCTCACAGTCATGGATAACCTGAGAAATACTGTCCATGGTTAAATCCACCCTTCAGTCTCGTGCCTACTTATAGGTGGCATCTCTGCCCCGCTGACCTGAGGCATCATGGGCCCATTGAGCTAGGAACAACTCCCCCTTATGTTGCCAACCTAAGTCTACCTTCGACACCTCTATTTTTGCTGCCTGATCTACCTGCTCGTTATTTCAGTGTTCCACATTATCCCGACTCTTGGGGATATGGGCATCTACATGATGGACTTTCACAGGTAACTTGTCTACCCAAGTGTCAATGTCTTTCCATTCATCAGTGTAGTAGGCCCAGGGCCTGCAATGGCTCCTTGGCGGTCAGAAGCCTAAGATAGGAGATGCCAAGTCATGATGACTGGACCTTAGAAGCCCCCCTCTTCCACCTTCGGACTCTTGCTTATCTCTCTGTAAGCCTATAGGTCACTTTCCCTTGGCCCTTACTATTGGATAATTTCCAAAACCCCTGTAAGGTATATAAACCCCTACTTCTGCCCAGTTCAGCAGAAGAGCTGTCACTGAGAACCTTCGTGGAAGACCCCAATAAAGAATTCTTCAGAACCTCACACAGCGCTTCTCCTCTCTCTCCCGGCTGAAATCACAAAGAGCTGGTAATCACTAAGAGCTGATATCATTTGAGCTTGCTAAGGTTGCCTGCGGCTAACAGCTGCTTGGGAGCTCGGACAGGCTGTGCTGAGCACCACTGAGCTATCCTGGCCAAGGCAGCCCACCAGGCATAGCCCGGCTGGTAGCCGCCAATACACCAGCAGCCCAGATTGGCTTTCCTCTATGCTGCCAGTTGGCCTTTTTCCACCTTTACAGCCAGCCCCACAGAGCATTGGCTACCATCCACAAATTAGTATAAAGGTAGAGGTTTGGCCACTTGTCTCTCTCAGCAATGTCCAGGGCCAGCTGAACAGCTTTGAGTTCAGCAAGTTGACTTGATCCACCTTCTCCTTCGGTAGCTTGTGCAACCTGTCGTGTGGGGCTCCATACGGCTGCTTTCCACTTCCAGTACATCCCTACGATGCGACAGGAACCGTCAGTGAAAAGGGCGTAGCGTGTGTCCTCTGCTGGTAGTTGGTTGAATGGTGGAGCTTTGTTGGCACATGTCACTAGCTCTTGTTCCTCTTCATCAATGAGAACAAAGTTTTCACCTTCTGGCCAGTTTGTAATTATCTCCAAAATACCAGGGCAATTCAGGTTTGCAATATGGGTGCGCTGCATGATGAGAGCAATCCACTTGCTCCATGTGATGTCAGTGGCGTGGTGAGTAGTGGGAACCTTTCCTTTAAACATCCACCCCAGCACTGGTAGTCGGGGTGACTTTGAGTTGACGCACTCGTGCTGCCAGGACAGAAGTGGGTTTCCCATCCCACCTTCCCATGTCTTCCACATGGTCATGCAGAAAGAACCATAGGTCAGGTTGTGGGGTGTACCCTCTCTCTCTAGCTGGGGAACATTGGGTTCTGGCTTTGGGGCCTGTGACTTGGACTGGTGAAATGTTGGGAACTGTTCCTCCTCACCTCCTCCCTCTTTTCCCTCATCTCTTGAGTTCCTTGACCACAGCAGAGACATGAGCCTGCATTGGGCCATTGATCATACTTTCATAATTTGTAAGCTTGTTGGCAACAGAACCCACTGTCTCTCGGTTGGTATCGGCATTAATCATTGCAATGAAGGTGGTGTATTGAGATGGCCCTAGATTTGCCAGACTCCACAACATTTGCCCTGTGCAACTGACCTTGTCGGGGTCATTATCATGCTGTCCATCCCTCCAAAAAAGTACCTCTAATACTGCCACTTCTCTCAGCTGTTGGATCCCTTCCTCAAGGGTCTTCCAGTGCATTCTGTGGTAGTGCTTCTGCATTCTTTCCCTGTGGACAAACCTCTCTCTGACACTTATTAAAAGCCACTCCCAGAGGGAAAGGGACTCTCACTCCCTTACAAAAATCTGATTCATAACTGAGTCCTGGGTCAAGGGTCCCAGATTCCTTGCCTTACCACCATCCACCTGGATGCCTGTACCCATAAGGTCCCAGGCCCAAAGTAGCCAGGTTGTATAAGCCTCACGTCTTCATCTTACAATGTCTTTGTGCAGATTACAGAGACTTTCTTATGTCAGGGACTCGGTGATGATTGCAACCTCTGGCTCCTCTGTGGGTTGTGAGGGCCCTCCCCTATCTGGGTGCTCTGATTTCATCTTAGATTGCCTTGTTTCTACAGGGGCAACTGCTGCTGGCTCTGACTGCCTTTGCAGTTCAGCTGGAACCTGGACAGTTGTAACATCTGTGGGTTCCACTGCTGCACTGTTAGACTCTCCCTCTTCGAGGCAGGGGGAGGGCTTCTCACCAGCTGGGGAAATGTACTCCTTCAGCATCTGGCCCATCTCACGTATCTCCTTCACCAGACCCCCCACCCAATCTGGGTAGTTCATATCTGGGGTGGGCTGTGGGGCAGGGTCAGGCTCTGGGGCAGCAGCATCCCTAGGCTCTGGTGCAGTGTCAGCTTCTGGGGTAGGTGTCAGGCTGGTTATCCAGGTTAATCTTCCCTTCTCTCTGAATGCTAAATAGAACAGGCCTATCAGCAACACCAGCCACTGTATGATATCATGATATTGTTAGTATTTAGAGTGGATCCAAACCCTTCAAAAACTGGTGGGGCAGACCTGTCAGAGCCCAGGACATCTCTCTGATGGTCCTGGATGATCCGAGCCCCAGCCAGGGGGCTTTGAAGCCCTGGCAGGGGGGGGTCGGAGACCCTGGCATGCAGCCAAATACTCCTGTGGCTTTGAGTTCAACCCATGAAACAAATTAACACCTTTATATGAAGAATTAAAGGTCACAAAAGTTTAGATAGCATAATAGTAGTAGTTATAGGGTAAAAAGAGAAATTTTGAAGATTTTTACTATAGGGGTCTAGGAGGCAAGATGGAGGAATTTGGGCGTTGTCCTGTTCTTCTTCCTTCTTCTTCCTAGCCTCCATCTTCTTGGTGATGGTAGCACTCTAGGATTGGTGTAAAGTAGAAAGTCACTGTTTAACATAGGTGATAGGTATTGGAACATAACTGTAAATATCGAATACGTAGTTTATAGTATAAAAGACAATGCCAGCCCCGTGGGAGGGCAGTGTGCCTCAGACTGATCTGCTGAACAGACCTCGGAAGGCCAGACAGAAAATGATTTAGATAAGAAATAATAAACAACCTTGAGAATGCGAACCGAAGACTTCTGACTCCTTCTTCGACAGCTGGGTTGGGGAAAAGAGACTTTTAATACATCTCTGGGTCATCTTGACCAGAGGAGATCCCAAGACAGACGCAAAGAGATGGTTAAAGGGTTGGGAGAAAATGTCCCCCTATATAATTTCCTTACAGTAGGTGCCATTATTAAAGTAACCCCAAAAACATACAGTTAGTGTGTGATAGCTGTGAATCCATGTGCCTGCTTTCCAGAGGAAGATAAAAATCCATTAATTTCTCACCTTATTCACCCATAAAACAAACCGGATAACAGCCAGAGTAGCCTTGGTTATAGGACCCATGTTTAGATAAGGGCCTGCAAAGGGGAGAAATATAGCCACGATCACGTGCCACCCATACCAGGGTAAGCTGGACCACATGGTGTCGCTTAAAGAGGTTTCTATTGCAGTACACAAAAATTAGATTAGTCAAGAACTGTTATTCCCTTTTTGGTTCTATGCCCTTAAGCCTCACGTTGGGTGCCAAAATCTGTCAGTTTCGAAAGACAGGTGTCTGCTAAGGAAGGCAGGAACCTCCCCTGAAATGGAAAAATGTAAACCCCCTCCCTCTAAATTGTTATAAATTTGAAATTAAGGGGCTCTCAGGCAAAGATATGGGAGCAGGAATAACAGTTCTTTATTAGGGAAGAAAAGAAAAAGATAAACTAAACAATGCAGTAAACCAAAACAACACTGACAGAGTCAGAACACAACCTGACACCCTGTTGGTCAGAGTTTTGGTAGCAGTCCAATTGGAATTGTGGCTGTAGTCCCCCTGGAGTGTAAGGTGTGGTTCTGTTGGAGCAGGGATCCTGTCCTAAGGTGACGTTATGCTGCTTGTATCCCCAGTCGTGTGTTCTGTTTATGCTGGATATTATGTTCTGTGCCTTCAAGATTGGCACTGAAGAGTGAAGTTTTGTTTTGGTTTTGTTATCGGTCTGCTCACTCCGCTAACGGTTGGCGGGACACAGAGATGGGGCAGTACATAGTGCAGCTTTTGCTTTTTGCTTTGATTTCGCTTGGCTCTGGCTCTTGCTTCTGCTTTGCTCCTGCTTTGCTCTTGCTTTTTGCTTCTGCTCGTTAGTGTGCTTTGCCTGTTAAATAAACAGGTTCTTTCCACTTCTCTCCAAGGAGTCCTTCCTGAACCGTTTGGGGGGAGGGGCCATGTGGGTTTGCTTTCTGGAGGGGCCCCCTTTGGAGGTTTTGTCCCAAATTTGCCCTAAACCAGGACAGATTCTGTAGAAAGAGTGTAGTCTTCCTCTGAAGAACCAGAGCAAGAGGCAGCTGTTCCTCTGGGAAATCCCGTGGAGAAGCTGTGCTGGTGTTCCAGAATCTCAAGATTATATCTGGGTAGGAATGCTTGGCTCCTTCCTCTAGGCAGAGCATCTCACAATGGGATGATATAGTTCTTATCAGTCATGCAGTGACATTCAATAGCCTATTATCAGCAGATGTCTCTCCGGAGGGAGAATTGGCTCTCGTCGTACTCCACTTGTCCATTCCCAAGCAAATCATCTCAGCACTTCCCACTGTTTCCCATGTACTCCCCCTCAACAGACACCTGCAATCCCCATCCACCAAATAGGACGACTACATCAGTGACCAATACAATCCAAATCTCCCACTCAAAGCATTATCTATGCAGTCCTTAAGATGGCTGGTGGAAGCTTGACCTTATTTCTCGGATGTCCTGGACCTTTCTGGTTGCCTTTCAGTCTTTGCTTAAAAGTCAATCTCGTCTCACCCGGTCTGGATGTTATGGTCCATTCCTTTGGTTCTTCCACCAGGCCCTTAATTCTGTGGGCACGAGACCATCTCCACTCTGTAGTTTGCACTACCAATTCCATGGTGAATAGCACCTGAAAGGGACCTTCCCATTGAAAGGTTAGAACCCGGTCTTTCCATGACTTGATTATTACCCAATCTCCAGGGTTAATATTATGAATTCTGAGATCCAAGGTAGTAGTTTGAGGGATCATCCCTTTATGCCTCAACTCTGGTATTTAAGCTGTGAGCATGAAAAACAGTTACAGCAATTGCAGATTCCCCTGTTTATAGGGATTTAATGGAAACCTTCAGCATAAAATTCACCAAGCAGCACCTTGCTGTTGGGAGTAGTTACATTTTAAACACCATTAAACTTGGTGGAAATCACAGCACACAACCTCACATAAACCTTTTGGCAAATTTAAATGCAGAGGCAAATTCCTCTCCAGGATGGGTGGGGCATTATGGCACAGTTTTCTTCACCTTTTGTCCTTCCCCATACCACCCAGTTAGGTAATTATCGTGGGTAAACCAGGACTCCTGAACAACTGACCAATATGATCAAGCAGAAGCCGTTTATTGTTTACATTACACACACTTTTATAGATTCTACAAACTACTAAGATCACACTTCTTGATTGGTGCCTTTGTCTTGTTCCCTCCTTCTCTGCCTCCATTTCTCAGCATCCATGATTGGTTACCATGCAGGTGTTCCACAGTCCCGAATTGAAACCCAAACTTTAAAAGAACCATATCTAGGCCAATAGATGTGGTCGGGTCATATTTCCTTTTTTGTCCATTCTATCATACAATACTGAATCATCTTTATCCTCTCCTTTGTACAAGGATCAATATCCCAGTTAGCTAACTTAAGTCCCAAGGGACTATCTTGGGGTATATTTGCTGGCACCTTTTTACTCCCTTTTTTCCTTGAACATGACTTACTGGTTCTTTGTCCCATTTTCCCTCAGGATTTTACCTGTTCATCCCTGGTCTCTGTTTCCCTGCTCTGACCCACTCCTCAGACAGCTTGAACACCACCCACCCTTCACAGCACTGAAAATTTTTCCTCTCCAATACTATAATACAATCCACCTCCCTCCAGAAAATAAACTTTAAATCAACAATCTATATTACATTTACTTTCATTCATTCATACTAACTTTTTTTTTTATTTTTAATATGTCTCTCTTACTCATTCTCACTCACAACAGGACAACACAATAATAAGGTACCTTTACCTTCAAGTCACTTGTTAATATCCACCCACAGGTATTGTAAAATCTCAAATGTTGTTGGCCAACCCCAGATTCTCTAGGATATTGTATCCCACACTTGCTGTAGCCTCTTGTGTGTTCCAATCTCTCAGTCTGGCAACTTTTAGGGGGCCCTCACTTTTTGTCCCATTTCCTAGTGGATTGTGCTAGGAAACCCTTGGCTCCCTTTGTCCAAGGGGTCCAACCCCTCCCTGAGACCCAGTCCCAGTTACCCTGGGGGAATTTCTCACTCCTTTTATCTCTTGCTTCGTCTCCTCCCTGGCCATTTTTCTCGCCAAAGAGCAGAACCGCAGCCCTTAGAGACTCCTCAATCACTTTGCAGGTCCGGAATAGCCAGCCTGTTTCTCATTCACACACCATTCATTCCCCGTACCCACCTGACACGTTGATGTTCGTATGTCTGAGACTTAAAACATGACAGACCTCCCATGCTTCATCAGCCAAACAGCCTGGTTTATTGTTTCCCACCACCTTTTATAGGCAATTCAATAACTCGCAGTGCTATACAGACATTGGTCTGGTCTCTATGCACCCCCAGACTCTGAACCAATCAAATGCTTGTATTTTAGAAGAGTTGTTATTGGTTGGAACCTCTGTCAGTCAGCTCAGAGGCTGGTTTATGGACCTGGGCTGGATTTCTTATTTATAACTGGATTATTGCTAACCACAGATTAGCTATACCGCAACACCTGCCCCCCTGAAAAATACTTACAATCATTTCTTCTTCTTTGGGTCTTCGTGCATAAGAATTGTGGGGCTAATTACCGTGGTTTCTTAGGGAGCCTGTTACTTTTGCTTTGCTTTATTTGTCTTTTTCCTTGTTCACGGGGGTGTCGACCTGCAACCGCCGATTACGCCAGAAGAAACAGAGCAGGCCGCCAAACTTGGTGGGGTGCGCCTCCCCTTCTTGGGATCTCCCAGGTTCTTGGAGGTGAGATGTTACATCCCAAGACAATCTCCCAACTGTGAAAAACGACGTTCACTCTCCTGGAAAAAATTAAAAGTTTAATAAAGGACAATAGGAGACAAAGACAATAAAGCAAAGATTTACAGCTGGGTGCTTGGCATTCTGCCAAGAGCACACCTGCTATTTTGGAGACACCCTTTACATACCTTTCCTATTACATCAGCCTATTGCATATTCATAAACAATTATGCATATTTAAACTTTCCCCCAAACTAGTTTACATGTTCCAAGAACTGTTTAGCATGGCTCCTCCTAGGGTCCGCCTTTCTAGAGCATGCGCATTTCTTGGCTGTGGTTTTGGTTCATTCTTGTTATCACCTCCAGTTTGGGCTTTGGTCCATATTTTCTACAGATGGTGGGTGCTGATAATTGGCATGTCAGTAGCAGGGGTCTCCATCATATGTTCATTGGATGTTATCCCAACCAAGCAGGCAGTTCAATTATCACAAGCATAACTATATCAGCTATTTCACTACTATGTCTAAGTTTAGTTAATATAAGAAATAAAAACTATCTCTTTATATCAAAGTTATTTTAACATTATACATCCATCTTAATATTTGCGAAAAGCCAATATTATAATATGTATTTATAACAGTTTCATTAACATTTAATAAGGCTGTCCCAAAATCTAGCCCCTTTCTAACTAATTTAGATCTAGATTCTGCAAGTACCATGCCTGTTTGAAGACTCCCTGACCTGCTCACATTAATGTTTGCATGACTGGGCTTTAAAATTATTCCTGCACTCCTGACAGCACCAAAGGCAGGGATTCAGGACAGGCACCCCAGGGATGCCCTGCCTGCATGGTGTATTAATTTTATGTGGTTTATGGCTGGTATTGCATTTAGTTGGGTGCAATTGTTTTAGAATTAGATTAGCTTTCAGTAGCCATGATTTAAGCCTTGGCTTTTCCTTCCAATGTGATAAGCGACTTACTGAGTGACCTTGAAGAAACTTATGCACCTGCACTTATATGAAAAAGGAGCTACTCCTCCATGGGAGTGCATGTGGGATTGGGACCATTGGGGGCTTCTGCCCTGCGAAACCTAGTGCTAGGAAGTCTATCTGGACTTCCCAGCTCTGCTGCAGAGTGCAGCAGGGCTGGTAGAGCTGCACAGCCTCTTGGTGGCTCAGTTTCCCCATCCTCTGCAGGTCCACAATTGGAATGTGGGATCTGCAGAGCTCCCAGGGTGCAAGGGATTATTACCACTAGTAGTATGAGAATATCAGAGTGCTATGTGCTGATCATTTCTGCTTTGCATTTGGTGAGAATTGAAGTGGACCAACCCCCTATGAAATATTTTCCCATCCTTTGGCGACCAGTGCTGTATAAGCAGAAAGTATTATTATTATTGCTTTATGTGCCGTGTCCTCTTTCGATGCCCAGAACCATATATATGTAAATAAACTTTTTAATTTTTGTGACTGATTTGGTTTAATATTTCAATACTTACAGTGGGCTCCGGCACACCCCGGCCCCGGAGGCTCCCTCTGCTTTGCCCCGCTGGGTGTAGGGGAGAGACCAGCCGCTCCGCACCCTCGCCGTGCTCCTGGAGGGGGCCCCCTCATCCTGGAGCAGGGATGGAGATTGGGGAGGGGGAACGGGGAAGGGGAGACCCACAACCTTTCAGCAACCCCAATCGCCGATTGTGCAAGGCGGTTGGAGGTAAATATAACACATAGATTATTTTTTCCCTGGAGCGACACGGTGTCTAGACGCCCACGTGACGGGGCGGGCCGGGGCCGAGCCTGGGCCGAGCCGCTGCGCACTGCGAGTCGCCGCCGGAGCCAAGGGGGAGCAGAGTGGGGGACTGAGCGGAGGAGAGGGGGCGCAGGCATCGGGCCGCCGTCTGCTCCGCTCCCGCCGTGCCCCGCTCTGTCGCTGGGGTTCCTCTCTCCAGCAGCAAGGAAAATACGGAGGCGCTCGTGCGGGGATGGAGGCTTGTTGCAGTGTGGAGGGAAGGAAAAAACAAAAAAAACCCCAAACCAATCCAAGCCAAGAAAGGAGGAGGAGGAGAAAGAGGAAGAAGAGGAAGAAGAAGGGGGGGGGGGGAAGGAAGGCAGGCAGGAAGGAGAAGAGAGGAGGAAAAAAAACCCTAAACACCGAAACAGAGGCGCTGGCAGCAAGGAGAGGGTCGCCAGGCGGTGGGCAGCCCCGCACTCACGTAAGCACCGCTGGGAGCTGCGCGCGGCTGGCTTGGCTCGGCGCGGCTCGCCCCGCCGCGGCACACTGCTGGAGAAGGCAAGGAAGAGGGGACGCA